GTCTTTCAAATAAATGTGTAGCTTTGCGGGTAATTATTGCAATATAGTATTTGGTGGTAACAATGTCTGCAAATTTGAAAAGGTTAGCTAAACATTAACAAAATGGGATGCCCTACACGTTCTTAATGATTGCTTTCAATACCAAACAGATGACATTGACTTACAAGATTTCGTAGTAAAGATTTTTAATGGTTTTTTAATTTACATTATCCATGTTGTGTTCTGTGGGATTATTAATGAAGAATGTCGGCAAATCTCCAATCACGGCAAAACATGGTGGTTATCTTTATTTCCATCTGTTCAAAGACTTCTACAAATGTTTCCAGTTCTCAAGTCATCGTTTCTTTCACAGTACAAACCAGCACAGAACCACCAGATTTCTGAAAAAGTTTTTGAGGATCCATTAATGCTCTGGAGGACCCAAAATCAAATAAGGGTAAGTGAAAAAATCCCAGAAATTTTTTGCAGTGACAGCCCATCCCCAATATGTTGGCCCTGACTATCGCCACCCACATGCCCCATGGTATCAAAAAAGTTCCTTGTGACCACAAAGTGGAGTGTCAGAAAGTTTGTTTGTTAAGTTATGGCAACACAACACTTGGGCGATCTGCCTAGGGGATGCCTTCTGGGAGGTCTTTTTAAGAGAAACTGGCTCCTATTTAGGCGTTACAGACGTGGAGAAAACCAGGAAAACTCCATGTGGCCAGCCCGTCTGAGCGAGGCGCGAACCCACGATCGAACTCCCAGTGTTCAGGGTACGAAAATCGCTTGGCCACTGGTGGGCCTGGAGTGTCAGAAAGACCAGATAGAAACTCAAATAGCAAAAAACCATGCAGATGAAAGCCAATGTGTCTAACACTATCACTATTATAACAATTTGTTAAAAATAAAATGTGATTTTACTTTTGTATTGTATGTCAGTGAAATTCAAATGGGAGATATTGTCTGGTTCCTCTGTTCAGTTGTCTGGTTTTGTTTTACATTGCAGAGACATGGAATCAAGTAAAAAAAAAAATTCCAGAAAGTCTCCAAATGTCATTACATTACAGTATTACATATGTGAAATTCGAAGTGCATATAATTTCATAAAACAAAGTAACCCTTTAAAATTTTAACAAATTTAAATAAAAATTCCTTTAACTCAAGGAATTTGGACCTACAAAAACGAAATATAAAGTGCATGAGAAATTTATAACTCTTTCGGTTTAAATATAAACATTCTCACGATCAAACCGTGCATAGTTTACACTTACAGGCAAAATTCGTCATATTGTTGTCATTCGATCACCACCTTTAATTAACCCCACACCTGCTAAAACAATTGATCACCTGACTAATTTTCCCACCGAAAAAGGTATAAAAGCCCGACACCTTCTCCTCATCGGAGGAATCGCCGAACGTCGAAGTCAGACATCGCCTTCTCCATCGCAGCCCTACTCTTTCGTCGCCGACCTATACTTGTGTCACCGCTCAGAATCCATAAAGGACGACATTACGGGAAAATATCCCACTAGTATATGCCAAGAGGTATGAACGCTTGTTATTGTAAACTCTCTCATCCGCGAAGTCTATGAAGTTTTGTAAAATTTTTATTTAGCTAGCTAGTAAAATAAACCGTTGTTTTGTTTTAAATGGTGTCGTTACTCGACTTTGCCAACGTCTTATCGTCGACCCCTCTGACTCTCCTCCACTCGCGTAACACGTAACCGAACGTTACTACTACAGTGGCTAGAAAATATAGTGTCGAAATCGAGCTTATTTTCTGTCCCTATATTGGAGGTTGCCGCAAGAGGCGCTGCTGTCAATCGTTGTGCTACACTGGCTGTATCATCCTATGTTTATATTGGTTTTAAGTGGGATTTTTAAGCATAGTAAATGTGCTGTAGCCAAGTAAAAGAATTTAGATCGATAATAAATCATATCACTAGCAATCAATTATTATATAGTATTACTTTATTAACATTTATGAAGGAATTCATTTTATTAAAGCTAATTAAGATTCTTATTAAATCAAATAGCCTACACTGTATTGTCTATTTTTACATTACAGCTGTTGAGTGCTGTACAAACAAGTATTATTTAGAGTACAAGAGTAATCTACTCTTGTTATTACCTTATTAACAACAAGGTTTATTCATATTTACTAAAAAAATACAGAATTTATCATATTTTTAATAATAAAATGTAAGTTTTATATGGCTTTGTGAACCTCTTCCACTGTGAGGGCCTAAAATAGAATTTATTAAGCAAATGCCATCAGTTACATAATACTGTATACTGTTCACAGTATTATGTGACATAGTATAAAGCAATATTAAAATTACAATTAAATTCTACACAGTATATAAAATATAAAGGCAGAATGTTACTTTATTGTCCCAATATAAAATTACAAAATTAAGTATGTACAAATAAACGATTATTAGTCTACTGCCAAGTACCCATGCATATACACTTTATATTTGAAAAATCTCTCTTAAAAAATTACAGATTAATATGCATGTAGATTTCTCACCCTTTTCGACAAAAATAAAAGAATTAAAAATTACAGTAGAGTAATATCTATAAATTAGAAATACACAAGTCAGTAAAGTTTCTGTTCAGCCATTTCCTAAGGATTTATTCACTTTACAAGCACAAATTTAATCGCTTTCGATGTTCTTGTAAGAAAGGATATCACGTAGCCAAAGCGAAAGTAGCACTACGATTGACATCAGCGCCACCTTGTCTGTGACGTCACTAACCTCGATGTATGGACCGAACGGTTATAATGGAGGAATATAAGCGCTTTCGACACTATATTTTCTAGCCACTGTAGTTACTACCATCCCTGACAAGAAAGTAGGTCACCGACCTGAGGCCGGAAGGAGCGGACTCCTCTTACCTCCCCGGTGGCTCACAAATTGATGTCACGGGAGTGGGGTTTAAATCTAAAAATCCCTAGAAACATCACACATATATGTAATGTAGGAATCTAAATGACACATAAAATAAAGAAAATTTACCATAATATGACATGTACAGTACAACATATATTTTAAAGATAAAATAGTACTTTTATCATTTTTTGAAATTAAAATATTAAGTATAAATCTAAGCACAGTATCTTAATCCGGAAAATGCACATCAATATATTTATCACAGTATATCCCAAATAAAAGATATTTCCTAAGATGCTAAATGAAGATTTTTAATCTATTGTTATAATCAAGAAAAAAAAAATAAAGATTGATACTAAGTTGTAAATGTGACTATTTCAAAGTAAGTATTTTTTTATCTAGATAAATGTACGTTAATAAATTTAGATATGTGTGGGCTCAAAACTCGGTTTCCTCTAGGGCTCCAGATCTTAAACATGTGACTCTACATTTGTGCATATTTAATTATCAAATGAGACAAAAACTTGTTTATAAAAATTTGTCAATTTATTACTTTACATTTAAAAGGGGTTAATGTAAAAATTACTAAATTTCAATCACCAATGACTTGAATCTGGACTTGCAGAGAGGAAAGATGGTGCCTTTAGGCAATCTTTTCTCTCTTCTGCAAATCTTTCCTCTCTTCAACATTTTATTTTGGAACATGCCAAAGATTCAGCACCTTAGGTGCTGAATCTTTGGCATGTGTTCCAAAATAAAATGTTGAAATAACAACTTATTTTAGCCAACAAAATTTCGTACACATGGTGCATATTGTCTGATAAAGTAGTTTTGTTAAGTCCATTGATATGGCACATTGGAAGATTTGTTAACTCACTTTTCTGTTGCTATGAGACAGTGCAGAGTTTATGTTCAATATGGCAAAGGGAGGAAATGTTTGTTGTTCTGCTGTTTTTTGTAAAAATTATAAAAAATAAAATCTCATTTATCACTTTTTACATTTCCAGAAGATGTAAAAAGGTATTTGATTTATTTAATCAGAAATACGAATATAAAATGTTATGATGGAATTTTGTGAAAAAATTATCAAGCCTAAAATTATGACTTGTATTTACAGACAAACTCAATGGTTGGATTTTGTCAAGAGAGTTGATCTGCTAGACAAACCACTGAAAATATATAAATCTGGTTCCTATTTAGGTATTAGACACGTGAAGAAAACCCATAAAACTCCCCGCTGGAGAGGATAAAACCACTGAAAATATTTTATTTTTGAGTGTCAAATTTGAATTTATACTCTTATCCAAAACATTTTAAATTTTCTGTAACTAATATCAAAATTTGTGAGTAAAATAAAATTTGTTCGGTTTAAAATGAATTTTGAAATTTCGTTTTTTTTTTATAACATTTATATAAATCTACTTAAAATGTAATATATTTTTTTATGTGCATAAGTAATGTGAAATAGTATATATACAGTATATTTATACAGTACAATTTACCAATACAGTATGTTAAAAAAAATAAAATTTACCAATAATAATTTACCTCTAAGATGGCAATATGCAATACATTTAGTTTTTCCAGTAGCTACCAGAAATTTAGTGTAAAGCAAGGTCTATCTAAATAAGTCTGGACACAATCCCGTGATCCTTTGTGGCACTGGCCATTTTGTAGCTCATCAATAGAGAATACCCTGCATGAGGTTCCTGTGTGAGTTGGCTATATTTAAGTGCTCATAAAGTGAATGAATGGGTTTTAATGGTTTTTCAATTTACATTATCCGTGTTGTGTTCTGTGGGCTTATTAATGTAGAATATCGGTGTGTGGCAACGAATTGTAAAAGTAAATCTTCAGACATGTGGCAACAATTTGTAAAAGTAAATTTTCAGATGTTAGATTATTTAGATTTCCTGCAGTTAGGCAAAGAAAAGCAAAAATGAACGCAGAACTGCAGACAGGATGAATGAAGAGAACTGAACATTCTAAACTGAGTACATTTGCAGATATGAATGACACTGTTGGGATCTCAAGAGACGGAGAGCATGCCCTTAGGAGCAAAAAAGTCAAAAAACCATACCTCTTCATGTAACCCTTTATGAGATAAAACCTCAAGAAATCATCACTGATCAAGTTTTTATTAGTGCTATTGAATTATATACATGTGATTATATTATTAAAATTGATAAAAGTATGAAAAATTATTGTTTATATTTTAGATTTGATGTTTACTTTTTATCTCATGTAATCCATTATAGTCATCTTGTTATTTCACCATTTTTAATTTTTTTGTTTAAATATTTGGATTTGTTGTACCAAATCAAATGGGTTTGCTGCTAAATCAAATCTTTTTGCTGCAAAGGATGTGGATTTGTGCAACCAATATATGGACATCTGAAATAAGAGAAATTTTGTATTAAATTAAAAATAAATCAATAAATGATCAAATTTTATTGATATTATAAATTTAATATTTACTTTTTTTCTCTTCGTTTCATGTAATTCAGTATGCTTGTCTTATCGTAAACATGTTTACAATAAATGTTCTTTACAGGATCTTTAATTTCTAGTTGTGTAATAGGATCTTTCATACCAGAACTTTGCTTAACAATAATTGCATCATCATCGTCACATAATTCCTGGTCATCATTGATCTCTATAGCAATATCAAGTAAAATATTTATTTTCTTCCATAATGCTAAAATCAAATTACTGTGAAAAATTCGTCTATAACTAAAACTATGAGATATGCTTTGATGGAGTGTATAAACAACCATTACATAGCTTTCAAGTACTAAAATCTCATCTCAGGAAAAGAAAAAATGAACAATACCACATTGCTATGGGAACACAAACAGAATGTTCAAATATTTTGAAAGCAAAATAAAATAGAAACTAAATAATAATAATAAATAAATAAATAAAAACTAAGACAAGGAGAGATTATTAATAGTAATAAAATAAAATAAAAGAATCTAGCAATGAGTTGCATAACTTTTCTGGCAAAAGCTTAATTTTGTGAGTAAAGTGACTTTTATTTAAAAAATTGCAAATGCTAACAACAAGTAAAATTACATTACATCTAACCTCACTCAAGATATGATACTGTCCATCTCTCCAACTGGTTAACCTTTAACCATCAAGATTTAATAGCATCAATCCCCCTATTATCCAAACTTCCTGCAAAATTTTCAACAAAAAGCACAGAAATTATTATGCTCAAAATGGATGAACAAAATCATGCTCCATATATATACAAACATTCATACATACAGAAAAATTCTCCAATTTTTTGGGCTGCTATTTGATAAAATTGTAGACCTATAAATTCCCACTGTTGTCCATCCATCCTTCCTTAATCTTGAGAACAGAGTTAGATACATGAAAGTCAAGATAAGACAGAGAAAGCTTAGGGGCAGCAGACCCCAATTAACTATGTAAGAACTTCCAATGCCAGCCTGAAGTCATGTTATTTCAATTCAAAACTTTTCCCTTGAAAGCAGTTAGATAGATGACCAGCACAATTCCATTGCTAATGGAAAAGTATGATGTACAAGAGCAATACACTACTAATTTGAAGGTGGAGAGCATATATTTTAAATTAAATAAATTAAAAATTGATTAAAAATTGTAGCTCAGCATTGTGACAATGTCATAATAAAATGATTGCTTGTTTTCTTCATTTTGATATTTCAAGGTACAAGTCCAAAAATGTAAAAATCTCAGTGTCATTTTTACTTTTCTGGTTGTTATACATGATAAACCAAAAGTAGGTGGACAGTAAATGATAACATTTATTGAGATTACATACAATTACCTTTGTGTATTAATTTCTTGAAATGCATCTCTGATATAATTTTTCAACCATAATTATAACTAAATTAAATATACACCATTGTATATTTAACCCTATATTTAACCTTATAGTATAACCCTAACACAAACCCTATTCCACCTACTGTCCACCCACTTTTGGTTCACCCTGTATATAACAGAGGGAAAGCAAAAATGATCCCCCAAGATTTTTACATATTTGGACTCAGAACACCTTGAAATGTCAAGAAATGCAAAAAAATTCAGGGGTAATTTCTGTTTGTATAATATTAGTGGGTGTAGGTGGGCATGATTTTGTTCACCCTGTTTGAGCTTAATAACTTCCAAGCTTTTTGTAGAAAATTTCTGAAATTTTGCTGGGAGATTTGTTTATTAAGGGAGATTAATGCTATTAAATTTTAGTGGTTAAAGGTTGAGAGGATGGCGAGATAACAGGGTTGTATGTATCTCCAGTATGGTTGAATTTTACTTGTTATTAGCTTTTTTTTTTTTTTATAAAACTCTTCCCTACCCTCAAAATTAAGCTTTTTGCCACTTTATAATAGTTAAAAATATAAAAAAGCTTTTTAATAAAATATGATTACTGATGATGCCACCAAAATTTTAAATGTTGCCAGGAAAGTAACTAGACAATACAGTAGAGCGTCGATTTTCCGAATCAATTGGGGACTGGGGTTGTGATTTATGTACGAAAAAATAGTTTAACGTATCCGATGTTGAAATTTTTATCCGTTGCATGTCGCTTTGCGTTGAATTTTCGTCTATGTTAAGCCTAACAAAGACTATTGTATCGTTAAAAATTATTTTTTTATTTTGTACAAACAAAATAAATATATTGAAAAATATAAAAACAATAAAAAGTTATACTTCAGATGTTAATTTAGTATCAAAAACGTAAAATATTTGAGGAGCCCAGGACATAGCCAAAGATTGAAGCACCACAGCACTGTTGAAAATTTAAATTTGCCAACTGGAATTCTTTCGGATGATTGACTTTCGGAAAATCGACGCTCTACTGTATTGTTTTTAATGGCATTGAAACGGCAGTTAGCTGTACAGCATGTTAGCCACTTCCAAGGTCTTGCTAAATTGTCTAAGTCTCTGTGGTAGCTAACATTAGTTGCTTCTGTATATCCTAGACTTAACAGTAAAGTATGAAAAGTCTACTTGACTGCCACAGAGTCCTGTTAAAAACAATATTGCTTACTTTTAATTTATTTACTGTTAATAATCTCACCTTGACTTTATCTAATAATTTATTTATTCCTATTTAGTTTTAATTTTACTTTGTATTCAAAATATCTAAACTTTCTATTTGAGTTCCCACAGTATGTGTTCTTATTCATTTATTTGCTTTTCTGAAGATGAATGAGATAATTCTAAAGTATTTGAAAGCTATATAATGGTTGTTTTTTAATATAAGTGATTTTCTAAAGCTTGTCCTGTTTCTAAATGATGATGTAATAAGTCTAGCAGAAAAGAAAAGCAGACATAGAGCTCATAAATTGAATCAAGCCTCTCATTAAATGCAATAACGTCTTGTTAGGAGTGTTAAGTACTGGGGTTGAATGTCACGCCAACAGTTATCTCAATCAAAACTTCTTCCAAAACTTCAGACTATGAGGCGTTAAATATAATTAAAAATATTTTATTCTTGCGAGTGCTTTCGACGTAAATATGCACATCGTCTTCAGGCAATTCAAAATCGAATAGAGAATTCGAACCATACATTTAAATTTAAACATTAACGATATTAGCCGTTTTTTGAATATAACTATTATAAATAAGATTTAAATTTTAGAATTAAAAACATTTAAAAATATTTAAAATTGGTACGCATGTGTTTTAAAACAAATAAACTT